AGGGGGGTGGAGGGGCAGAGGGTTTTTCACTGTTATAGATTGAATAGCAGTCAGTGTCCTTAAAGCGGGTGTGTCAGGCTCACAGTGGATACTGTGCCCAGTGCCACCACTCACTCACTGGTGTCACAATAGCTTGCATTTAAAAACAAAAAACTTTTTTCACTGTTATAGATTGAATAGCAGTCAGTGTCCTTAAAGCTGGTGTGTCAGGCTCACAGTGGATACTGTGCCCAGTGCCACCACTCACTCACTGGTGTCACAATAGCTTGCATTTAAAAACAAAAAACTTTTTTCACTGTTATAGATTGAATAGCAGTTAGTTGTCTCAAAGCGGGTGTGTCAGGCTCACAGTGGATATTGCGCCCAGTGTGCCACCACTCATATCTGGTGTCACAATAGCTTGCATTTAAAAACAAAAAACTTTTTTCACTGTTATAGATTGAATAGCAGTTAGTTGTCTGCCCGCGGGTGTGTCAGGCTCACAGTGGATACTGTGCCCAGTGCCACCACTCACTCACTGGTGTCACAATAGCTTGCATTTAAAAACAAAAAACTTTTTTCACTGTTATAGATTGAATAGCAGTTAGTTGTCTGCCACTGCTGCCAGCTTCTGTGTCAGGCTCACAGTGGATACTGTGCCCATTTGCCCAGTCAGTGCCACCACTCATATCTGGTGTCACAATAGCTTGCATTTAAAAACAAAAAACTTTTTTCACTGTTATAGATTGAATAGCAGTCAGTTGTCCTTAAAGCGGGTGTGTCAGGCTCACAGTGGATACTGTGCCCAGTGCCACCACTCACTCACTGGTGTCACAATAGCTTGCATTTAAAAACAAAAAACTTTTTTCACTGTTATAGATTGAATAGCAGTCAGTGTCCTTAAAGCGGGTGTGTCAGGCTCACAGTGGATACTGTGCCCAGTTGTGATGGAATTCCAGTAAAATACAAGTTTAGCAGGCCAAGATTGCCACAAGGCATATGTAGGTACATGTGTTTGTAGTATCAGTAGGTTAGTTACACGTAGCTAAGATACTGTCATCACTGTACTGAGCATGTGCAGGAATGCAGGAACTGGAATTACGCGTCCCTCTCCTTTGTTTCAGATGAGCCACGTGGTTAGACCGGATGGATGAGTTTAGACTCTATTCAATGATTAGGTTAAGGGTATGTGTGGGCGTAGCTAATTATGGGAAGAGCTACAGTGCTATATAAGGAATGTACTCTATGTATTCAGTACTCAGATCTTTGCTATTTTTGGTGACATTAGTCCCTCTGAGTCCCGGTCGGTGAATCGAATAAAGATCTCTTCCTTCCTGAAGAAACCTGTGTCCATCTCTCTGTGCTTGGCCTCCGTCAGTTTCCCGGTAACATCTTTGGTGCATTGGCCGGGAAGCTCGTCGTTAACGGTGGCTAGGAAGCAGAGGCGTGAGACGGTCTATCTTTGCCCACGTTCTCTACGGCTGCACCCCTGAACTTCTGCGTGGACCTCCCTTCGTCTCGGCGCCACTGGTCTGTTGCCCAGTAGATCATCGGCCTCTACGTAGTAAGTGCTGGGGTGTCCCCGTCGATGAGTGTGAACTCAGGTTCAGGAACGAGGCGGTAAGACGACTACTGTTTTAGACGGTGGACCCACTAGGGGTATTGGATACCGATTGTGCGGTAGGCCGATAAGGGGTTTGAATTGGAATTGTGTATGGAATTGGCTCCCTCCAGGGAGGGAAGGAGCGAAGGCGCACCGCTCATAATTAGACGCCCTGTAGTCAGCCCATCTAATCTTGGTATGGAGTCAGGCTGGGTCTTGGTTGAATGTATATAGCCCAAGCCGGACACCGGTGTCTTGTCTAGACTAGCGTATCTAGGGTGTACATTTCGTTCGCTAGTTAGGAGGGACCTGGAGACTAAGCAGACTCTGGTGTACATTATCGTTTGCTAGTTCTCAACCTATCTTGGCTAAGTGGGAAGGCGTGTAAATTTGGTTGTAAATTTGGTTGCATGGGCCGCAGCTCATTACCCAAACGTAGATCCGAATTGGAATGTTAATGGTGCTGATATGGCTCACCTAAAAGCTTATAGGGAAGCCATTATTACTGGCATGAAAGCCGGAGGGAAAAAGGCGATCAATATGTCAAAGATTGCTGAGGTATTGCAGAAATGTGATGAGTCGCCCAGTGCCTTTTATGACCGATTATTGGAGGCATACCGATTGTATACCCCCTTTAGTCCAGAGGCTCCTGAGAATTCCCGGATGGTTAACTCTGCCTTTGTCAGCCAGGCTTACGGAGATATTAAAAGAAAATTGCAAAAGCTAGAAGGGTTTTTAGGGATGTCTATAACTCAACTAATGGAAATAGCAAATAAGGTTTATATGAATAGGGAGACAGAGACGAAGAGCATATAAGAGAGAGGAAAAAAAATATGATAGTAACTAAAAATGAAATAGAATAAAGGGAAAATGAGAGGGGATTGAGCAGATTCTCACCCCAAGAAAAAAAGGGGAGCGAAAAAGAAACCAATAATTGGGCAGCTGAGAGGATTTGGAGGAGTGAGAAAGTGGGAAGGGAACAGAGAGAGAACTCACAAAGGAGTTTAATAGAATAATATAGAGTGAGAGTGAGGGAACTTGCAAGAATGGAGGTGGTGGGATAAGTAGTTTAACCCCTCAAGGACCAAATTTGGAATAGTAGGGAAGATGAGAGAAAGAGAGCAGTGCAAGGGGAAAGAGAGTAACTTTGATTTGACGGACTGGAGGATCCCTGATAGAGAATAATCCCCTTGGCAGAGGGATGAGTGAGTTTCATGATTCTTTCATGAAGAACTGGTCTGTTAACCGGTAACCGACCTCCTTCACCAGAACAACTATCACTGTAATAGGAGCAACTGGGAGCTGCTGCTCCCTTCAGGTTCTGCAAAACTGCTGTACAGGGAGGCACATTCACATTTCCCCTATACACCTCCAATGTCCACTCCAGATGGTTGTGGTGGGGTTTGTGGTCAGGATGCATTTAACAACCGGCCGACAAGTCCCACCTTGATAATGGCCAAAATGACATATCAGTCCAAAGGAAAAGGCTTTATACAGTGATGACAAGTCAAAAAAGAGGATGATTGATAATACAGGAGTGTGGGCAGAAAATAACCCACCAGGACTTGCCGCAATATCCCACCTATACGCATCGAACTAAAGCTTGGGGTTTATCCAGTAAGGGGGGAATACCACCTAAAAGGCGGGTTTACCTATTTGGATCAGGAATAATTTTGGTTCCCCTTATGATCCTTTAAAATAAATGAGCAAAATAATGAGGCAAATTTTAACTTCAAGAAGAATTGTCTCCTTAAAGATGAAAGTCCAAGAATGGAAGAAAGTGTACTTTGCATTCCAATGGGAAGATGCTGTAACGGGCTCGAAGCAGATGACCTGGACACATTGCCCCAAGGGTTTAAAAATTCACCTACCCTATTTGGATCAGCATTAAGTCAGGACTTATTAGATTTCAAGTCCATCCCAGGAGAATGTGTACTACAATACGTGGATGATTTGTTGATAGCGGCAGTTACTAAAGAGATATGCTAGCAAGCAACTTATGATTTACTGCACATTCTTTGGAAGGCAGGATACAAGATGTCCAGGAAGAAAGCTCAGTTGTGTCAGCCAGCTGTCAAGTATCTGGGATTCCATATCTCTGAAGGTCAAAGGATAAGGGGCCTGAAAGAAAAGAGGCTGATGCCAATACCAAAACCTAAGAATAGAAGACAAGTGCGAGAATTCTTAGGGGCAGCAGGCTTCTGTAGGATATGGATTCCCAGTTATGCGATACTGGCGAAACCCCTCTATGCCGCTATTAAAGGCAAAGAACATGATTCCTTCCTGTGGACCATCGAACAGCAGAAGGCATTTGAGGATGTTAAGAAGGCTTGATGAGCGCCCCCGCATTAGGTCTACCTGATCATACACGTCCATTCTACTTATATGTACACGAGCAAAGAAGGATGGCTGTGGGAGTACTGACACAGTATCTGGGATCATGGCAACGACCTGTTGCGTATATGTCCAAACAACTGGATGCAGTAGCCAGTGGTCTTCCTCCTTGTCTAAGGGCCGTAGCTGCCGCCGCCCTGTTGGTAGCAGAAGCTGACAAGCTCACTCTGGGTCAGGAACTCTATGTGCGAGTCCCGCACGCAGTACAGACGTTGCTAGACTATAAAGGTAATCATTGGTTTAGCAATAGCCGCATGACTAAGTATCAAGCCATGTTATGCGAGAACCCGAGAGTGCATCTTGAGACTGTTAATACCTTGAACCCAGCTACCCTCTTGCCGCAACCTACTGAGAGTCGACATGATTGCCTGGAGGTAATGGATGAAGTGTTCTCAAGTAGACCGGACCTTCATGATTTTCCCATCCAGAACCCCGATGTTCAGTATTACACGGACGGCAGTAGTTACGTGAAAGAAGGGATTCGCTATGCCGGATATGCAGTGACAACTATAGACAAGGTGATAGAAGCGCGGCCATTGTCAAAAGGAACATCAGCACAGAAGGCAGAATTAATCGCACTTACACGGGCTTTGCAATTGGCTGAAGGGTTGAAAGTAAATATCTACACAGACTCAAAGTACGCGTTTTTAACCACACATGCCCATGGAGCTTTGTATAAAGAAAGAGGATTACTGACCTCAGAAGGAAAAGAAATCAAGTACGCAGCTGAGATATTACAACTATTGGAAGCTGTATGGGAGCCGAAGGAAGTTGGTATCATACATTGTCGAGCACATCTGAAAGGTGATGGTGATGTGGTGAAAGGAAATCGGATGGCAGATAGTGCAGCTAAGCGTGCCGCTGAATCCGGACAAAAAGAATATGTGGAGTGTGTAGCAGCTCTTATACCGACCCCTCTGTCCCAGTGGACTCCAGTTTATACAGCTCAAGAAGTAGAGTGGTTAAAGACTGAAGCTGGGAAATATTTGGAGAATAATTGGTATCAGTTAGAAGATGGAAGAATAGTTATTCCAGCATCGCTAGCTGTAGAAATTGTCCAGAATTATCATAATGGGACACATTCTGGAAGAGATAGTATGGAAGAATCTCTTAGGAAGCATTTCTACATACCAAGATTGTCCAACTTGACTCAAGCCATTGTTCGAAGATGCGTGTCATGTGCCAAGAACAACGCAAGGCAAGGTCCAGTGAAACCACCGGGAGTCCAGTACATGGGAGGGCTTCCTATGTCCGATCTCCAAATAGACTACACAGTAATGCCTAAATCCGGCAGATATTGTTACCTACTAGTAGCTGTGTGTACCTACTCAGGATGGGTAGAGGCGTGTCCAACTCGTACAGAGAAAGCAGGAGAAGTTGTGCGAATTCTGTTGCGAGAAATAATACCCCGATATGGACTACCGTGTTCTATAGGATCAGATAATGGTCCAGCTTTTGTCCATCAGTGCCTACAACAACTGACTCATATGCTTGGTATTAAGTGGAAACTTCATACAGCATATAGGCCTCAGAGTTCTGGGAAAGTGGAAAGGATGAACAGAACCATTAAGACCCAGTTGGCAAAAATGTGTCAAGAAACCCAACTCTAGTGGAATGTTCTTTTGCCAATAGCTCTGTTGCGCATTCGTAGTACACCTACCAGAAAGTTAGGTCTATCACCCTTTGAAATTATGTATGGGCGTCCACCTCCCATACTTAGTAACTTAAAGGGGGACTTGAGTCAGTTGGGAGAAGGAATTACCCGGCGGCAGGTTGTAGAGTTGGGTAAAACTATGGAGGAGGTACAGAAATGGGTACAAGATAGGTTACCTGTAAATATTTATCTACCTGTTCATTCTTACCATCCAGGAGACCAAGTTTGGATAAAGGAGTGGAACAGTGTACCGTTGGGGCCAAAGTGGAGGGGTCCTTATGCTGTTCTTTTGCCTACTCCAACAGCTATAAAGGTGGCAGAGGTGTCTCCATGGATTCATCACTCCAGGGTTATACCAGCAGCAGATTCTTGGCAAGCTACTCAAGATCCTGAGAATCCCTGCAAGATCCGGTTGAAGCGAGTGACCCAGTTAGATTAAAAGTGTTTTTTGCGAAGAGTATTGTTACAAGGGAACATCAACAAAGATCTACAAGTAGGTGTTTTGATGGCCACAATAAAGCCTGACCACCTACCAACGTTTAAGCCAGAGGAATCCTCTGTGAAGAACAGTGAGGATCAGAAGGACTCCATTCCCTGCAGCCCTCACACGCCTGGAAGCTGAGGTGCCGTCGCACGGTCGAAGAATTAGGAAGAAGATGTCAGGAGTAATGTGTTTGATGATGTATATATGTGTGTTTTTAATTATTCAGGAAGGTAGAGGTACCGACACACCAGGCTGCGAGGTTTGCATTAAGACTACGAAAACAGGCAATCGTATTTCCCAGACCCTTATTTGGCATTCGCAATATGAGTGCACAGGACATGTATCAAAGTGTAGATACCTAGGTACAGATTATAGTGTATGCCATATAGGAGCAGGAGAACCTAGGTGTTTTAATCCTGAGTATCAGCCCCGTACAATTTGGTTGACTATTTGGAATGAGAACGCACAGGGGAACCTGATAAATAAGACTGTACTAGAAAGCGTACATTCTCCAGGTGTTTTGCTATTTGATGCATGTAAGGCGATATCAGGTAGTAGGAAGCCATGGAATGTATTTGGTGGTTTTAAATGGGAAAGAACGTATGGGTCTAATGATAAGTATATTTGTCCTAGTAATAAGCATACGTATATAGATCCAAACTGTATAAATAAAGACTACAATTATTGTCCGTATTGGTCCTGTGTGGGATGGGCAACCTGGGGACAGACAGTAGATAAGGATATGATTATCACTAGATTGCCTATCAAGCCATATTGTAAGTCTATGGAGTGTAACCCAGTCCATATACTTATCAAGGACCCAGAGCTATTTATAGATAAGTTTGGGAATCTATTTGGGTTCCAAATATATGGAACAGGTTTGGATCCTGGGACGATATTATACATAGGAATAGAGACAGATACAGTGGCTCCCCAGACTCATCAGGTTTTCCATTCTTTTTATGAGGAGATGAGTGTGGAAGATAAGGTTCCCCATAATGCCAAAAACTTATTCATAGGCCTAGCTGAGAGCATTGCTGGTAGTCTTAATGTAACCAACTGCTATGTGTGTGGAGGTACTAATATGGGAGACCAATGGCCTTGGGAAGCAAAGGAGGTCATGTATTCTGGTTCTGAGACAGTTGAACAACTAATATCTTCTCAATCTGATTATCAAGTGAGTGTTAGAGGTAAATTTGAGTGGCGATTAAAGACCTCCATTATAGGTTATGTTTGTATAGCAAGGAAAGGAATAATGTTTAATACATCTGTAGGAGAATTGACTTGTTTAGGGCAGAAAGCCTATAATGACGATACAAAGGATACTATTTGGTGGTCAGCTTCAAATGTCTTAGAACCGTCTAATCCGTTTGCAAATTATACCAATTTAAAGGATGTATGGTTTGACCTATCTGCTACATCTAGTTGGAAAGCCCCAGCAAATTTGTACTGGATTTGTGGTAAGAAAGCATATTCGGAGTTACCACAGGACTGGGAAGGGGCATGTGTATTGGGTATGCTCAAACCATCCTTCTTCTTGTTGCCAATTGAAACAGGAGAGACTTTGGGAGTTAAAGTATATGATGTAAATCATAGGAAGAAAAGGGCACCCCTAGAGATAGGTACCTGGGAAGATGATGAGTGGCCTCCCCAGCGTATTATAGATTATTATGGGCCAGCTACGTGGGCAGAGGATGGTACTTATGGATACAGAACCCCAATATATATGCTTAATCGTATTATAAGATTGCAAGCAGTAGTTGAGATAGTTACCAATGAAACATCACAAGCGCTCAATCTCCTAGCGAAGCATAACACTAGGATGAGGACAGCCATCTACCAGAATAGATTACCTTTGGATTACCTATTGGCAGTAGAGGGAGGTGTATGTGGGAAGTTTAATCTAAGCAATTGTTGTCTTCAAATAGATGATGAAGGGCAAGCAATATCTGAGCTTACTAGCCATATGGTTAAGCTAGCACATGTACCTACTCAGGTATGGAAAGGGTATAATCCGAGTAGTTGGTTTGGTAGTTGGTATGAGCAGTTTGGGGGAATCAAGGCATTGGTAGGTGGAGTCATACTGATTTTGATGTTGTGTCTCCTTCTGCCATGTCTGATTCCTTTGGTAATTAGGTCTATGCAGAGCATTATAGAAAGTATAGCAGAAAGAAAGGCCGCAGCACAGGTAATGGCTGTTTGCAGGTATGAAGCTCTAGATCAAGGAGAATACATGCAGGAAGAGGAATGTTGAGGGGTTCGTATCTTTAGAGGATCGCAAAGTCTAGTCTAGTTTATGGCAACTTGAGGTGTAAGCAAACTATGATTGGTGATGCATCTGGAATTATTTTAAATCAGAAGCATCAAAGGGGGGAATGTGATGGAATTCCAGTAAAATACAAGTTTAGCAGGACAAGATTGCCACAAGGCATATGTAGGTACATGTGTTTGTAGTATCAGTTAGTTACACGTAGCTAAGATACTGTCATCACTGTACTGAGCATGTGCAGGAATGCAGGAACTGGAATTACGCGTTCCTCTCCTTTGTTTCAGATGAGCCACGTGGTTAGACCGGATGGATGAGTTTAGACTCTATTCATTGATTAGGTTAAGGGTATGTGTGGGCGTAGCTAATTATGGGAGAAGATACAGTGCTATATAAGAAATGTACTCTATGTATTCAGTACTCAGATCTTTGCTGTTTTTGGTGACATAAGTCCCTCTGAGTGAATCAAATAAAGATCTCTTCCTTCCTGAAGAAACCTGTGTCCATCTCTCTGTGCTTGGCCTCCGTCAGTTTCCCGGTAACAGGTGTACCAATCTTTATAATTTAAAGGACCACTATAGTGCCAGGAAAACATACTCGTTTTCCTGGCACTATAGTGCCCTGAGGGTGCCCCCACCCTCAGGGACCCCCTCCCGCCAGGCTCTGGAGAGAGGAAGGGGTTAAACACTTACCTTTCTCCAGCGCCGGGCGGAGCCTCTCCTCCTCTTCTCCAGCGTCATGATTTGGCATTTCAGAGCAGCCTGACATTATAGTCAAGTTATAGAAAGCATTTACAGCTTTCCTATAGAGCGGCTGTTCTCACTGTGATTTTTCACGGCTCTAGCGAGGCTGGATTAACCCTCAGTATAAACATAGCAGTTTCTCTGAAACTGCTATGTTTATAAAAAAAAAGGGTTAATCCTAGAGGTACCTGGCACCCAGACCACTTCATTAAGCTGAAGTGGTCTGGGTGCCTAGAGTGGTCCTTTAAGAGCACATATTATTTTAAGATTTATTAAGATACCTTAATTAATATTGTTTATAAACATCTGACCATTAAATCATGAGTAGAACTTGTCGATAAAAATGAGGGAAGTACGATACAATTGAAGGATAGTAAGTTTGTGAGTTCATCTCTTTAAATAATATAAATGGAAAGAGGAGGAAGAGAAAAGGGGGGAAACGAAAAGAGAAAAAGGAGAGGATAAAGGGAAAGGTAAAGGGAGGAGATTCATTTATATGAATATAATAGGGGGTATAATATAAAGGAGTCCTTATATAATTTTCTAGTCTCCTGAGCCCTGCCAAAAACCCCCTTCAAATAATAATTATAATGATATAACATCTAAATATGCTAAGTATATTTTTAGCATATGTTTTACTAGTCTGACAACTTTAAGATACATAAGTCAAGTTTCAAATTTATTCTAAAAAATTCTAACTTCTAATTTTAATTCTAAACTTCTAATTCTAATTAATAGGGATTGCACTCTATTTACAACATACAAAGCATTTTTGGCTTCTATATTTAACTTCCATAAGAAATCGAGTATGATGTGGCGAGATCCATGTTTAGAAATTTATACAAATTTCCACCTTTATTTGAGTTATTAATATAAATAAACATTTTGAATTATGGTGGGGAATATGGAATTCTCTGCCTGAAGAGGTGGTTTTATCAGAGTCCATACAGATGTTAAAACTGCAATTGGATGAATACTTGCAAAAACATAACATACAGGGATACAATTGCTAATTAGTTTGGTCCTATAGCTGCCTGATCCAAGGATATATCTGACTGCTATTTTTGGGTCAAGAAGGAATTTTTTCCTAGTTTGTTGCAAAAGTGGAAGCGCTTCAGACTAGGTTTTTTGCCTTTGTTATGGGCAAATGCAAATATTACAAGTTTTGGAATGAAATGTTGTATTTCTTAAACTGTGTACTTTGTCTTTAAGAGATATTGCAAACTGACAAGGTGTTAGAAATGGAACATATTGTTTTTCATAACGGTTTCTTTAAGCAATAACCTCTTACCTACATACAGTGCATAATATGTTTGTGCCATTTTGTCCCAGACGAATTACAATAACAATAATGCATAAACAAGCTTCAAGGCTATGCCACGACTCTTTCAGTACGTAATATACTGTGGTAACCTTAGTAGATAAGGATGTTCAGACTTTAAGATTCCATCTTGAACTAAGTCAGGAAAATTTCCATGACGTATACACCCTTTAGTTATGGCCTTGTATGTTTGCCAAATTAAGGGAGGTCCTAAATTGAATAAAGTAAAAGAAGTGTTACTTTTTCATATATGAATTACGGTAACCCTAAAATGGAGACACTTAAGGTATAAATAGGTGTACTTTTAAATGTTAAGACACAGAGGAGAGACTTGGAGACAGACGCTGCTCCATCTTAAAATGACAGAGAGGCTGACATGATGACATGTTCAGAAGGGTATGTTAACCTATTAATGATATTTGCAAGCATTTCGTTTAATCTTATAAACTCTGCTATAATGGATTTTATATGTCTATATTTTTATATAATAAATATCTAAAAAGACAAAACTTTATTGCTTCCAAGACAATCCTTATTTTATATTGTATTCTCAATTATTTATATATGTTAAATAGAGGATCTCTTACACTAACTATATAAAATTATGGCTAAGATATCTGTATGGTTAGCCCTGCTAAGTTCTATGCTTTAAGATGTTATAGTGGTAAATAAGGGAACCAGCTGCGGTTACACCTTCTTTTGGATCAACAGCAAAAGCATATGTGAGGAAGGCTGAACTTGATGGACGCAAGTCTCTTATCACTGAGTGAGCACTTCCTATAGAAGTTCCTGTCCCACGGTCCGCGCCGCCCGGCCACGCTACATTGAGTGCTGTGCGCTTCTGCTCCTGCCAGTCACCTAAATCTAGTGCCCCCCGGGCTGGTGTGCCCTAGGCAACTGCCTAAGTCGCCTATAGGACGCGCCGCCCTGCAGCTATGTAACTATGAATTAAGAAGACTCTTAAAGGACCACTCTAGGCACCCAGACCACTTCAGCTTAATGAAGTGGTCTGGGTGCCTGGCCCAGCTAGGGTTAACCCATTTTTTAATAAACATAGCAGTTTCAGAGAAACTGCTATGTTTATTAATGGGTTAAGCCTTCCCCCTATTCCCTCTAGTGGCTGTCTCATTGACAGCCACTAGAGGCGCTTGCGTGCTTCTCACTGTGATTTTTCACAGTGAGAGCACGCCAGCGTCCATAGGAAAGCATTATGAATGCTTTCCTATGTGACCGGCTGAATGCGCGCGCAGCTCTTGCCGCGCGTGCGCATTCAGCCGACGGGGCAGATCGGAGGAGGAGAGGAGGCAGAGAGCTCCCCGCCCAGTGCTGGAAAAAGGTAAGTTTTTACCTCTTTCCCCCTTCCAGAGCCGGGCGGGAGGGGGTCCCTGAGGGTGGGAGCACCCTCAGGGCACTATAGTGCCAGGAAAACGAGTATGTTTTCCTGGCACTATAGTGGTCCTTTAACTGGCCTCAGTTTTCTTGCCTTTCAATTATATAAGCATAAGGATGTCGTGACGCCCCATTACAAAACCTCATTTCTTATGGGGACAAGTATGTATGGCATAGGGGAGGATGGCACCCTCCTCTACCCTATATTGGATTTGTGTTACGTATTTGTAGTCCTATGTTACGGATCTAAAGTGTATGTGTTTAATGTTTTCTTTTGTGATGTGTGCGTACGTGGTTGGCGGAGCTATGGTAAAATAGAAAGTAAATTGATGGATGAAGAGATAATGACGCTGAATGTGCAGGGTTTGAATTCCCCCCCCCCAAAATGAGCTATGTTTAATGAATACATATATAGGGAGCACATGGATATTTGTTGTATTCAAGAAACTCAAATGAAGGGTCGTGATATTCTCCGACTAAATAAAAAAAAATACAATGTTATAGAACATGAGAGTGATGGGATTGGTAGATTCTCTTTTGTGGTTTGTAATAAACATGCTCCAAATACAAAGCATATACATTTTCTGAATACAACCCTCAAAATGTAAATGCACTTGTTCAAGTTACCTTTATATGTTGTGGTGATTTTAACTGCATTGCAGATTGTAATATGCATAAGCATAATAGCAGTAGTGAATAGAGTAATAAACAGGTTAGTCTTGCAAAAAAGTCTTTCAAGACACACTGGGTCGGTATGAGTTATATGATATATGGAGAACTATTAGACCAATGGATAAGGAATATACTTTTTATTCAAATAGACATCAATCCTTTTCAAGAATTGACATGATACTAACAAAAGCAGTATCAATTTTAAACTGAAAAATTTAAAAGTTTTTTGAAATCTAAGGACGATATTGATGAAATTATAACTACTAATAAAAAGATTTTGAGGAAAAATTAGCAGGAGATGTAAGTCTTGCCAACGTATACTCCATGTATAAATGCATTTTAAGAGGCTATTTTATTGTAACACAAATCCAATATAGGGTAGAGGAGGGTGCCATCCTCCCCTATGCCATACATACTTGTCCCCATAAGAAATGAGGTTTTGTAATGGGGCGTCACGACATCCTTATGCTTATATAATTGAAAGGCAAGAAAACTGAGGCCAGTTAAAGGACCACTATAGTGCCAGGAAAACATAAAATATTGTCGCACCTCCCACGCCTCCACGCTCTGTCAGTCCCTGCATTGGCTTCCAGTTAGATATAGGGCCCAATTCAAAATTCTGGCGCTTGCTTACAAATCCCTACATAATGCTGCTCCAACATACCTATCCTCCCTCATACACAAGTATGTCCCGATGAGACCCCTGCGCTCAGCCCAAGACCTACTCCTATCCTCTGCCCGGATCCCCACCTCTGATGCTCGCCTTCAAGACTTCTCCAGGGCTGCACCTATTCTGTGGAACTCCCTTCCCTCCTCAATCAGACTTTCACCCAGCCTCCATTCCTTCAAAAAATCTTTGAAAACTCACTTCTTTATTAAAGCGTATCAATTAAACGGTCAGCAGGTTTCTCATACCCCCACCCCATGACTCCGTTCCTTCACCTGTCAAAAATGACCTACCAAGCACTCAATAAACCCTTCTGTAACAAACTATTTAATTCCCCTACTTTAACCCTTTGTGTCACTATACCCCACTCCCTCTAGCATGTAAGCTCATCGAGCAGGGCCCTCAACCCCCTCTGTTCCTGTACGTCAGTGGTCTGATCTCAATTATGTGTCTGTTAGTCCACCCATTGTACAGCGCTACGGAATTTGTTGGCGCTATATAAATAATAAAATAATAATAATAATAATAATAATTAAGAAAGAAGCTTTTTTTAAGAAAAATATACGAAAACACTTTCAGATCTAAGTAATTAAAAAAAAAAAGAGTGATAGCACTACAGAAGTACAATATGTAATAGAAATTAATACAATTAAGAAATAAATTGAAGAACAATTAATTCTAAAAATAATTACAAATTTTATGAAAATGAAATAAAAATTCTATTATTTAGGTAATAGAGCAGATAAGATGATGACAAATCAACTAAAAAAAATTTAATTTGAAGAACAGAATATTTAAAATAATTGACAAAGATAAACATTATAATAGTCCAGAAGAAATTAGGAAAATATTTTAAAAATTCTACTCTA